TGGTCGCGAATGAGGACACTTTGCTCCCCGGCTGCACGAGTTTCTCTCTTTCTTTTTTCTTCTCAGCTCACCTTCGCACACACACCGTTAGCTGCAGGTGATCATTCAGTAACGCTCAGAAGCTTTCATTGCCAGACGAGACAACAACTAAGACTGCATCCAAAAGGTTCTGTAAATTACAGTATATAAAACTAATCAGGGTTACACTCACATTAAAAAAAACATCTACATCAACAATATCCCTTATAACTGATGCATCTGAGAGGGAAACAAACCTTGGACAAAATTTTAATCAGGGATGACTCCAACCTTTTTAGATGGGCCAGAAAGTGATATTTTCCAAATCCAAATCTTACTGCTTTATCATAGGTACAACACTGATGTAATTTAGGAGGCTTTAAGTTATTCTGTAAATGTCCATTTAGTAGCTGTTCTTAAGCTTTTTTGATATTACATGATCTTTATATAGATGGTGTTTATTCATATGTCATGGAATTGCAGATGATCAAATCCAGATGATGATCATCCATGTTGCTGGCTTTGATCAAAGCCGACATGCACAAGAAGTCCTTGAAGCACAAACAAAAGAACCAACCCCATGTTCTGATGAAGATCTGAACTCCATAACAGGAGTTGAAATGGACTGTGAGATGCCATTTTTTTGTTAAGCTTATAGCCTGAATAATGTTCCCTTTACTGGAACAAACTGCATCAGTGTCGTTTTCTTGTAGCAATCACTTCTTACCACCAGAGGGAACATGTTACACACTTAACAGTCATCCTCCAAATAACAAATGATGATTCCAAACTGCATTTCATATTGATAGCTACAAGTATCAAAAGGGCCAAGTTACTAATGAGTGAACGGAAGAGGGAAGCTCGAAAGGTGCTCTTTAGTGGGACTGCTGAAAGTACCAGAAAAACAAGATCCAGGGAGTCTTGCTTAATATCAGTGGTGCAGACAGCAATGTAACAAACCAAGGCACTCCGTCTTCAGGTGAAATAATATTATGAATTTATTCTTTGAGCCTCAAACAGACCAACACTTATTGACTTTAGTTCTTTATCAGGTTCTGATAAATACATTCAGTCTGAATTATATACCAGCTGTGGGTGACCTAGTAAATAACCCATGTAGGGTGCTAAAATAGTAGCATTGACCTTACTGAAAACTTTTTCACAATTGTTTGCTTTATAATTAAGATTGGTACATAAACTGTTCAATGTGTTACTAAAGCAAACTAAAACCTAAAATTTACAAAATGAAAACACATATATATTTGTAATATATTACAATAAATATGTATAACTTTATTTCTCATTGCCAAAATGTTTGGATTACTTCACTTCGTTTACGTACGGGGGAACAGGTTTTGTTGGTGTTGTACCGGACCAGCAGGATTTTCTCTGTTACCTCAAAAAACATGGGTCTTGTTTCTGCAAGTGGCCCTACTGCTTTGTTACATCAGCTCAATGTTTGAAGTTTGCTTCTCCTCTGAGCACCTCATCTGGGCAAAGTACACAGTGGGGGGTGTTCACTGAGATGTGTGTATGTGAGTGTACACAGGGGCTTCAGGTCAAGTTCCCATGGTAACTGTGTGGTGCCTCACTGTGTGCCCCTGGCTTCATGCGTGTGTGTGTTTTGTGTCTGTGTGTGTGTGTGTGTGTGTGTGTGTGTGTGTGCGTGTGTGCCTGGCCAATTATCCTAGTGGGCTGTTATCTCCTCGCAGAGAGGTTTACATTATCACCCTGACAGCCTGGTGGTCATTGGTCAGGTGAGCGGCTGGCCACAGATGGTTATATCATACACAAGAGCAGAGGGAGGGATGGACAGATCAAAATAGACAAGATAAGAAACTGACTGACTGACAAACAGTGAGAGAGGATGGATAGATGGGACAGAGGAGAGAAGGCAGATGGATGGAGGAATGGAAAGAGGAGATAAAAGCCATATTTTGTCAACCAACAGGGGAGATTTATGTGAAGCACTTATAGCCTGTTACCTAACATTACGGTAAATGGGAGTCACCTTAGGATTAATTGCCCCAAGAGCTGATGTACACAAGGATCAGTGTTGTTAGTGACAGTCATGGCACAGTTACTGTAGACTTCTGTCTGTTTTCTTTTGGTCTCTACGCAGTTCTGTTAGCTGTACAACACTCTTCAGATGATTTATAGATCTTACACATATACTCACACACACTTTATAAATATTTTATAAAATGTATGTTTTAAAACCATAAGAAACATTGATATTTGTTCACAGACTGCAGCACTATGTTTTCATTCACGTCAGCACAAGAGTAAAGTCATATTATTTATTTAGATAAAAGCAGTAATACCACACAAAAGACGATTACAGGTAAAAAGTACGTATGTAAGAATCAAAAGTAAATCATACTCATGTTGCAGAAGGGCCTCTGTCAGCATTAGATTATTACATTAATGGTTCATAATGCACAAACATGTAAATGGTATTTTAAAGAAGCTATAATCAATATTTCAATAAATAACTGAATAAATTATTTTTAGGTTAGAAAAATAGTTAGGATGAAAATACTGAAAATAATCACAAGATGCAGTTCAAAATGAGCAAGCATAATAATATTTTAATGATAGGCTTTAACATTATGAGCACCGACAGGTGAAGTGAATAACACTGATTATCTGGTTATTATGGCCCCTGTCAGTGGGTAGGATATATAAGGCAGCAAGTGAAC